AGAAAAATGAATCCACACCGAACCGCACAAGTGTGTTGTTCAGCACATTCATAAGCTGCCAAACCTTTAGGTGGCAGTAGTTCCCCAGATCCCGTCCAATCAGAGTGAGCCTCCGGCTCTCGTAAAGTAACCGTCCTTCGCCTGTGTTCTTGTATATGGAGCGGTATCCGGGCCTGGACCAGAGACACCACAGGTCTGAATGTAAACGCAGGTCGTATATGTGACGTGAGAACATATGCTGTTGCAGGTAGTTATGTTTCAAAACCTAAAACCCGGTTATTGACGTCCACATAGAGACGCACAAACGGAGGATTCGCAGATCTTCACTTTGGTCGGAGGTTTTTGAAAGAATTGTTTTTAATGCCGTGAATCTGCGCTTTAGTGTGGACGACAGGTCGACTCGTAGAACAACAACTTTGTTCTGTGAGACGCCTGCTACGTGTGGACGAGGCCTCAGAAGAACGCTTCACTTTAACTCCTTGTGATTTTTTTTTTTTTGCCGTATAGCAGAACGATGATGAGGTGCAGTCAGACCATTCCACACAGTGCTGCAGTGCTACTGTTTCCCTGGTTTCATGTCTTTATGCTAAGCTACGCTACCATCTCCTGGCTGTGGATTCACATTTAGCATGAAGACATTTTCTTTTTGAGCAGACATTCCTCTAAAACATCCATTTCCTTCCTCAGTATCCAGCATGACATCCATTAGAAAACACTGAAGGGCTCGAGGAACATGGCCAAGAGCTCCAGGTGTTGATCTGACCTCCAACCAGAGCGAAATCACAAATATTCACTTTGAATCAGCGATGAATGAACTGAACACTGTGATGATTTTATTTGATCTAGACGTCGCCTACGTCTGATCTCGCATCATAAATCCACACGTCTGGGGTTCTGGGTTACTCAAGTTAGTCAAGTAGAAGTCAAGGTTNCATGAAGAGCAAAATATCTGTACGTAGAATGTGACTGTTTTCCAGTTACACCTGTGGCCACTTGGAAAAATACTGTAAATGTTGATTCCATTTTTTTTTAGTAACATAAACAATCAGAGAAATTCCACTTCAGCTCTGTGGAAGACATTTCTGGTCACTTCTGTTCATGCTTGTTCTGTTTCCAGAAACAAGCAGGACGTCATGCTGCAGAGAAAAACGAGGCCACAGTGAGCAAAAATGTGACAAACGCCCAGAAACTGGTCGAGCCTCGAAGGGTTAAAATGCATGCAGTGATCATTTCATACATGCCATCATCCCCTGAGGCCTGCAGCCCTTCTAGGGGGCCTGGAGGAGCTCGTAAATAACAGGCAGTTGCACTTAACTCCTTCTTTGAGGTCTTTCAAGGATTATATAAGAACCTGTTGCCTGTCCATTTTGAAATAGTGCAGAAACATGGCGCTGAAGTTTCATTTGAACACGACTGCTTGATCGTCTTGTGACAGTGAATCTGGAAGTTTGCTGAAAACTGAAATCAGCAGGTGAGAAAACAACCCGTTTGTGTTTCTCAGACTGGAAACTGCATCTGAAAAACAGGCATCTGGTTCATACGAGGCACTGAGAGTCAGAGTGTCTGTGCTGCGATGCTCCAAGCTGGTGTTTTGATATTTGCAGAAGCAGGACGGCATTTCTGTGAGCAACGCCACAATCACAATACAGGCCTGTAGTATGCCGGTCCTGCATCAGGGCTGCTGCTTGTGTCTGTTTGCTGCCCAGCAGGACGCTCTGGTCTGTGGAGGACGACGAGAATATCTCACCTGGCAGGGGACAATAGCACCGACTTATTTCTAGGCGGACAGTTTGCTCTGCAGGCTTCTTGCAGGAGAGTCAATATTGAGTTGAAATGATCAGCACGACGTCCGGAGGGGAAGCTGAGTAAACTGGTTTGGTGGTATTTTTTTTTTTTTTCAGATGCTTGCCAATTTTGTCAAACAAGTCTGACGAACGGATCACGTCTCAGCCGCCGTCTGTCTGATCCTGATCCATCAAACAAGCAGGCGCTCACATATCTGAACCTATCGACAGGATTCTATAACTGAATTAATTGCATTGTGACTTTTTTTTTTTTTTTAAAGCTCAAACTCCTGGAGTGTCCTCTGGATTACATAACTGCCCTGAATGGAAGGTGGAGAGGGGCAGCGACACCTCTGACAAGAGCGCTTAAAACTTGATCAGATGCGGTAAAGCGTGCTCCTCTGTAGTAACTCTGCACCGACTCCTCATGTTCCTGTGATGTTCTGCAGGACAGGCTGCAGCAGCTGCTTTGCGTTTTGCTGGTTTAATTAACCAACTGTGGCCGTTCCAGTCATTCATTAGGATTTATCTGATGGTCCACAGAGGTCCTCTTTGTTGCACTGAAACTACAATTGTGATGACTGATAGATTTTTAAATAAATGGCTCATAAGCAGACAAACCATGTGTTCATGCATTTCTCTGAATTCACTGAGTTTATTATTGATCTGGTTTTTATTGTCTCATGCTGTATTTTTACTTAAAACACATGCTTTTGCTCCCAATTTCTAGTATTTTGCAAGTTTTCCAGGAATACTAGGCAGGGCAAGTTTGTGTTTAACCCTTTTAAGTCTTTTCCTTAAATATCTGAAGCTCTGTATTAAACCAGGACAATGAGGCGGCAGGTTTAATCCACTGTGAGATTCTCAGTCTATAAATCAGAGCAATATTCATTTTGGTGTTTTTTTTTTAGTTAGTTTTTATTGATCTTTATCACTTTTCTTACTGCATAACTTTCTGTGTTCAACTTCAACATGAGAGTTAAACAACAACGCGAGACTTCGGTCCAATCAGCACATCAGTCATGAGAAGCTGCACGGACTCACCTGCTGCTGTTTCCCTCCGAACCTCGTCCCAGTTCGGCTGCGGAGCCCAGAGCTTCCCGGTGCACCGGTTGGATCCCGGACTGCCGGCGGCGGCGGGTCCGCGGCCTATTAACGAAGCTGCAGGCTCCGCCCACCGTCACCTGCTGCGGCCGGGCGGGCGGGCGGGCGGGCACGCTGTTTGCGCGTTCACGACGCAGAGAAAGCGAGAGTGAAGCCTCATCAGTCATCTTGTGATAACTGTGTATGCAGCACAGCTTCTGGATCTGTTGCGTTCACTGCCCAGGGAAGAGGCGCTCCTCTCAGTGCGCATGTGCAAAATGAAGGCAGACCACAGTGGAGGTTTATGTTCTTTAAAAAAAAAAATGTCACTGATTCTTTCTCATTGGCAAACATTTGAATCTGCATAAAAAAGAGGCGTATGAACGGATTTACCCAGGAAGGCTTCCAAAGGCAAAAAAAA